GCACACTATGCCTTAACTGGCATTTTTGAAAGCCAAGAAGAAAAAATAAACTGCGAATCTGACTTTGAAAACTCACACTCCGATTCATCCGGTGAACGACAGTGTTCGGCGCTATCGACATACCGGAGAAAAATCAGTGAGGAAAATGATGACGATGAAAACGATACTGACGAAAACCTAACTCCGTTATATGTTTCCTCTTACCCCTTTGTACCTGTACGTACAAAAACACAGTGAAGCAGCTTCAAAACGTTGAGATAAATACGTTCACTCGTCAGAAACTCCATAAGCAAACAACAAACTATCTTTCCTTTTCGCTGAGTGCATCTTCATCATACTTTTCAGTAATACTTTTGTTTACTTTTCTTTTTCTAACGTATATCTCAGTTGATATGATGTTACACTTCTACGTTCTTTACGTACGCGCATCTTCTCGTTTTTTTTCTTTTTCTTCTTTGATTTTCTTCTATTCTAATCCACAGCACATCATCGTGCGATATCCTCGATTTTCTTTTTCGGTAAGCGAAAAGATAACCATCATCCNTAACCATCATCCTTCTGTTTTCATTTTTTGTTTATTTTCTCTCCTTCGCTTTGGTCTAGTCAGAGTGTGTGTGCGTTTTGTTTAGTGTCTTTGGTCGTAGATGCAGAGAGAGAGAGATAGAGACAGAGTTTCATCATTCATTTGTCTTGTGTGCATGGATGCATACTTCGCGTATTGTCGATCTCTTTACTTACGTACTTTTCGAAGAAACACTGTTTCTAGATTCTTCATTTTACAATTCAATTCATCCATCGTCTAATTCATTGTTCATAACAGAATGGTAGCAGTTACTCGTAGTGCGAAAGCACGTCAACACCAGTCACCCATTGCAAGCATTCCAATAGTAGCTGGTGTTGTTGAAAAGAAATGTCATCGAAATAAGAAAAAAAAAGGTGAATCGCACACAGTAACAACAACAGGTGTACCATCAACATCATCTGTCATCACAATGGCATCACCCTCATCACCAACACCAGTTACATTATTTCATCATCAAGATAATAATGATGATAATAGCATTAACGATGCTTATCAATATATTGATTCACCATCAGCCAAATCAATTCGAATCGATAATGATCAACAGGATAAATCAGATGATTGTGATGACGAAGAATTAGATACAATGGCAGCATGGCCAGTTATTGTCGATGAAATTCAGTGGTGTAAAACAAATTGTGGTAATGATCGTATGTGTATGGGCGGATATACCTGCGATTCTTTCTCTCAATTATTACAAAAAACACTCGTAACTTTCGTTGTTCGAAGAAAAATCTTCTTTGCCGTGCTGTTGTACATCTATTTATGGATTCCAATATGTACAATGATTCAAATAATGTTGAACATAATCATCCACCAAATCAACATGATGTGAAACGTTTATTAGTATTACTGAAGATCAAAGAAAGAGTACTGACAGAACCAATTTCTGTTACTCGGATTATAGAAGATGAATCTGTAAAGATGATCTAAATGATGATGATCGACGACCTTTTTTATTACCAGTATCACAAGGTAAGTGATATAGATAGACTTAAGTTGCATGTGAAATACCATGCCTTAAGTTTCATACACACTTATGTTATTCTGAGTACTTTAGCATCAAAATTTCATAAAATTCGTGCTAAAATGTTGCCACCTAATCCAAAATCATTGGACTTTCAAGTCCCAGCAATGTACTGAACAACTCACAGTGGTAAAGAATTTCTGATTTACGATTCAATACATAAAAAACAAGGAGGAAGACTGATGATTTTTTCTACCAAAGTCTTAATCGAAATGTTATGTGGTTGTGAAGTTATATTGGTTGATGGAACCTTCAAAACACGTCCTATCTTGTTTTCTCAAGTATATGTCGTAATGGGTCAGCATCTCGATGAAGGTATATATATGCTTTGTCCTCAGTTCAGCTTCATTTGAAATTGGGACGATAAACTCATTGGAAAAATTAGTAAGTGTCGTATTTAAATAAAGTCACTGATATGTTTTTCTTCTTTCTTTCTTTCCAGTTTCCTGATATTTCTATCCACGGATGTTGGTATCATTTTACCCAGGCGATATTTCCAAATATACAAAAAAAAAATTAGTTTGTCACAGATGTATGAAAAAAATGATAATAAGAACAACACTTATAGTAGGCTTTTACGAGTAAAGTTTTTCTTTTCACTTATTACTGC